CTGGGTTCTACAGACATTGAGAACATCGCGAAGGTAGGTTGTAGATCGATATGTTAGATCCGAATTTGAAGATGAAAATTTGATTGCAAATCGAGTGGTCAACAATGTGTATTAACATGGCCAAGCCGTGTTTGTCTGAAAATGTTCACCATTTAGTCAGAATCGATTAGTGGTACAATTCATGTAACGTGTTTTTAACGTGCTAGCTCGCAAATCTTCGCAACAAAAACCGCGACACCAGGTGATGCGGTCTCCATAGTCCGCGGAGCGTTAGCTCAGTAGCTAACATTTAGCCGTGGCCCACCAGTGGGCGAAAATGATGACGCTTCTGAAATGATTACCTTTAAACGCTTTAATCAACTAGTTATTCAAGTTATGTGGCGTAATTTTGAGCATGCGTACTCGAAAATTTTAGAACTGTAAGCCTCGCTCCAGGCGTTGCAGTCCCCGTAGGCCGCGCAGCGTCAGCCTATCAGCTAACATTGAGTTGTGGCCAACGGGTGGACGACAATGACGACGATTCTGAGAAAGTATCCTTGGACGCTTCATGATATCAGATCTTGTATTTAGAAGGCAGTCTGAGGGCATGTTTCACGCGTGCAATTTTTAGATTGATGAAAAGAACGGATTGGCCACTAAAGTACCGCGAAGTGGGGCTGGAATCTGGTGGTTGAACTGGAAGAGTGAAGGTAAAATCTCTATTTTTCGTGTTTCCGCGGCTATTTATCTGTCTGGAAGGCATATTAACATGGCGCCCGCCCGCCCGCCGTCTAGTGGCACTTGCAGTGGCCGAAACTTATCGGTTTTAAGAAAGTTGCAGCCCAGACCATCCTTGTCCTTCGTCTCGAGGTTGCGGGCGGGCATGTTCAAGCCTTTTGATTTAATTTGTTTCAATAATACATTCTAAAATAAATGAACGTCCTCAGGCAAACATGGCATGACCTTACTCGTATTTTTAAATTCATTTCGACCCGTGCTTTTCAACAATAATGAGAGCCCAACTCTACTCAACAATAATGAGACCCCTTATTCCCTTCCGCGAAAGGAGCATCTTGAGTAGAACACCAGGGTTACATTACCGTTTCCAGTCTAGGGCTGAAGGGCCATTCCGTCCCATCGCGAAGTGTCTTCTGGCTATCATTCTGGTGGCACGGGGCGGGATCTCGTGGTCGATCCGGAGGTCATTAGAAGGATATAGCATATCATATTGTCCCCATCCCTGACACGGGAGGCCTTCTGATCCGTGCAGTTATCCCCGGATCAGCACAGGGATCATCATTGACGCAACAACATCCCTGATCATCGCAGGCAGTCCGATAGTTTTCACATATACTCCAGTTTCATGTTTTTCCGTGTTCTTCGGAGATATTGAGTTCTCCCTGACTGTAAATTGCAGATGAAATGGGTGTCATAATTTGGATTAACATGGCTAGTCCATGTTTGTCTCATAATGCTCAAGATCCTGTCAGAGCTCATTCCTGAAAAGAAAACTACGTAATATGGTGTTGAACGTGCGTGCTCGCAAGTCATAGCAATAACAGCCTCGATGCCCGGCGTTGCAGTCTCCGGGCCGTGCGGCGTTGGCCTTGTGGCTGTAACATTAAGTAATGGCCAATGAGCAAACGAAAAAGATGACGCATCTTGAGGGAGATGACTGGGTAACTAGGTAAATCGGCATGCATGTTTAAATGCAGCGCGAAAGCAAGCCAAATGCAACCTTAATCTGAAAAGTGTGGGGGGGGGAGCAGTTAGCATTGTTGGACCCCCACACTGAAAAGTGGGGGGCCATGGCCCCCCTGCCTCCCTCCCCCTCTGTTCCTACGCTTATGAACTGAGATATAATCTGCAGCTTGTTTGAATGACAAAGCATTCAGCCAACAACTATCTTTCACTCTCACTCGTACTACTAGTTCCAGTATTTACGTATAGATGTCGCTAAAAGAGATGTTGCCTCCGGTCGGTGGAATGAACACGCATGTCTCGAGATGCCTCGCCAGTTTACCAATATCGTAACTTGCATGCATTTAACCTGCATTCAACTATTAGGAGACACGGTAACCCATGCTGATATTCATCAGCCTCCAGAATGAAATACCCTGTACATGGATAAGATTATTGACCAAATTATTAGCTACCGAAACAAGGCTTTGCATCGTTTTTTGGTTCGTTTGGTGTTTATATTACTGCCGCAATATAATGGTGCTATACATATTGCTGTTACAACTTTGCCTCATCTTTTAGGTTAAGCGTTGCAGAAATGTAAGTGCAGAACTATGTCTGACCGAGCCGTTATTGGGTTGCACAGTAATTGTTCACAACCCATCCGTTGCTGTGCATCTGTGCACGACAGTGAGCAATAGGTATTTAAATATATTAACTTAGTGTATTTCAAACTGGCTGATCTCATCCTCAGGTGAGACTGGCCTGCTAAATGTGTCATCAACTCTACTTCGCGGTAGCAGAAACCTCGGTTGTACCACTAGGAACAAATGACAGCAACATCCAGTACGAATTTGTATTCCCTTCTTTGAATTTAATTCGCTTGCTGGCGGGGACCTCTTAAGTACAGCAGAATATCGCCTTTAAGATATCATGATCTGGGTGAATTCACGCGGTTGCCTCGGGGGACACATGCACTCGTCCCTTATCTGATTTAATACGTGTGTAAACCATGTGTGCAATTAAGGTTTTGAGGCAAACTAATAAAACTACATAGATCGAGAATAAACCGTGTTGTTCTGGCTCGCCCGTTCCAAGAAATTCCGCTTGCGCCGAAGTGCGCTTAACCGCAATTCAGTGACAGTTTGGGAGTTGTGGCCTCAACCTAATTGTGAAATCTTGCAAAGGCCCGCGATCTGGGTTATTGTTCATCTGCGATGCATGCTGTCCTCAGCGCTACGAGCCATGGGGTGGACAGCCAGGCATTCGTGACATTGCTGCTCCTTAAACGAAACCTGTTCAGTATTAATGGGCCATTCAGGGCATAGCCTTGATCGTGTATGTTACCGGTCTGTGATGCAATACTGGATTATGCATGTACATATTTCCTCGGACCACCGACGAGGGGAAAGCTGGTTGTGTTTTCATATGCATTAACAGGTCTGCCACGTCCTAAGATCAAAGGTGAAACGACGTTTTTGGAAATTAATGAGCAAGTAAGATAAAACGCGCGTCAGATTCTGCCATTTCATTGTAGTGCAATGTACAGCAAGTTACATTGGACCAACTGATGCTTTCGTATAAGTGATCTTGATATCACGGGACTTCCTCTTGACCAGGACGGGGCCGGATATCATGCGTGCCAGTAGCCCGCTTATAGCTCTTGGTTATGAAAGCGGCTGGGTGACTCCTTTTCCTGTGGAATGGTCTTCCAGTTACCGCCTTAGGTGGGCACCGCTACGTTAAAAGAAGTTGCAATTGGAAAACAGTAGTTGTGAACCATAACAACAATGTGGATTTAAAAGTGCAGTGAATGCAAACTACGTTTTGTGTCTAGACATTGGCAAAGCGCCCTAATATTCCTCTAGTTCTGTGCCAGGAGATGTTTTGCTGTTGTCCTTGAAACAGACCTTCAGGCGGTGCCAATTTGAGGATCTTCTCTAGATCTGGTGACACTGGATAACAGCGGCAATGGATCGACCAGGGTTTTATCATTTGTGTCGAAGGCATGTGTATTTATTTGTACATGCAAAACCAAAGGGTGCCACCCATGCTTAGTTTCCTTTCTAACAAGGGTACAAGCCACAAATCCTTGAACACCTTGTTCCTTGCGTATTTTTGCGAAGCCAAATCCACTCGTCTTCCCGTGCTTGAGACTCGTAGCATTTGGGCCGAGGCTATAATGAAGTACCACTAGAAGCAGGACGCACTTAACATACCAAACCCGTCTTCTCTTCGTCACTGTCGCCGTGTCGCCTGCGTCTGCGCCGACCCAACATCTCTCATCACCCTCCCCTCTCCGCCAGTCACATTACATCCGTGCATAACACGGGCCTCCTCTTATCGCCATGCTTGGGCCTCCTGGCCTTGCCATTGTCGCTAATCAATGCAATACATCTATCAGGACTTTCGAAGGGTCTCAAAGTTTCAGGGTGGGGAAATGCATGTTTTCTCACCCCGTATAATGGCGGGGTAAACAGCTGCCCATGGTTGTAGTCTAACGGTTTATGGGTGCAACTTTACGCTTGCCAACTGACGAGCTTGGGCATGACGGCCAATGTCAAGGCGGAGCCGCTGGAGGCTAGATCTGACCACTGAGCGGGGCAGTGTGGGCTGGGGTGCAGCATGTTATCCGCTCTACACCGGGCACCACATTTCCTCAAGCGTTTCAGAACATGCCACGCCCGTTGAGGGCAGGCGTCTGACCAGCAGGGACGGAGGTCACGTGGCATGGAGGTTAGTAGATGTTCACTGCTGTCAAAGGGGCCATTTCGCACGACGTTTATGCTGTGCCTGAAGGGAGCACAGCCCCAGTACTATCCATTACCATGCTGTGACCGGCCACTGGTGCTGGTACTGCGTCGGGAGGAAGCACAGCCCCAGTAGCAGCCATCGCCATGCCGTGACCGGCCACTGGTGCTGGTACTGCGTCTGGGGGCAGCCATCGCCATGCCGTGACTGGCCGCTGGTGCTGGTCGCCATTATCGGTGGCACTGTTGCGCCGTCCGTGCCGGCTACCACGCCCTGTTATTGACCCGGTACTGCCCGCGGCACAGCCGGAGCTGCCTTCCAAGGAAACACGGTCAAGCTGTGACGCATGTTTTGCGTAATCCCAACGGAAACTGTTCAACGAGCTAGGGAAACTCCTCCCGTTGACACAAAGATGGAAACATGGTGCACCCAAAGCGTGTTAAACTTTGAGCGTGGGCTCGGCGCGTTCCGAGGGAAGCTTTTGTCTCCAGCGCAATCAATCGTTCGATCTTCGTTCGGTGCGGCCATTCCCTAGCAACGGCGCCTAAACAGAGTCCGGTTAGTGTGTCTGGCACTGTTACCAGCGCGGCAGTGGTGCAGTGACTGCGTGGGCCAGCCAGTGCGAAGTTGACCGGTTCTTTGAAGGAGCTCCTGACTCGCTGCTCCGGACGTGTGTGCTCTGATCTCGCAGTGGAAACAAATCACTGTCCACCGGGCCGCAGTACGAGAGGGAGTCTCGCTATGCGTGAGGTGATCAGCGTACATGTTGGGCAGGCGGGTGTCCAGATGGGCAACGCCTGCTGGGAGCTCTACTGTCTGGAGCACGGCATCATGCCGGACGGCCAGATGCCGTCCGACACGTCCGTCGGCGTTGCCGACGACAGCTTCAACACGTTCTTCTCGGAAACGGGGAGCGGCAAGCACGTGCCTCGAGCTGTGTTTGTCGACCTGGAGCCGACCGTCGTGGATGAAGTCCGCACGGGCACGTACCGTCAACTATTCCACCCATCCCAGCTGCAGACGGGCAAGGAGGACGCGGCCAATAACTACGCCCGAGGTCACTACACCATCGGGCGAGAGATCATTGACACTACAATGGAGGCAATCAGGAAGATGGTTGATCAGTGCACTGGGTTGCAGGGTTTTCTCATATTCCACTCATTCGGAGGTGGCACTGGCTCCGGATTCACCTCACTCCTGATGGAAAAGTTATCTATCGACTACGCAAAAAAAGCCAAACTGTGCTTCTCCATCTACCCGGCGCCGCAGGTGGCCACAGCCGTTGTGGAGCCGTACAACGCTGTTCTGTTCACGCATACCACTCTGGATCATGCTGACGTGGAGTTCATGGTTGACAACGAGGCTATCTACCAACTGGCGCAAAAGAACCTGGACATCGAGCGGCCGACTTACACCAATCTGAACCGGCTGATCGGCCAGATCGTCTCTTCCATCACCGCCTCGCTCCGCTTCGACGGCGCTCTGAACGTCGATCTGGCCGAGTTCCAGACCAACCTGGTGCCGTACCCGCGCATCCACTTCCCCCTGGTCACGTACGCGCCGATCATCTCGGCCGAGAAGGCGCAGCACGAGAAGATGTCCGTGTCAGAGATCACCCAGGCCTGTTTTGAGCCGGGCAACCAGATGGTCAAGTGTGACCCGAGGACGGGCAAGTACATGGCCTGCTGCCTCCTGTACCGCGGCGATGTCGTGCCCAAGGACGTCAACGCCGCCATCGCCTCCATGAAGTCCAAGCGTACTATTGAGTTCGTCGATTGGTGTCCCACCGGCTTCAAGGTCGGAGTTAACTACCAGCCGCCGACGGTGGTGCCTGGCGGTGACCTGGCCAAGGTGACGCGTGCTGTATGCATGCTCTCCAACACCACCGCCATCAAGGAGGCTTGGGGTCGGCTGGACCACAAGTTTGACGTCATGTATTCCAAGAGAGCCTTCGTCCACTGGTATGTCAGTGAAGGCATGGAGGAGGGAGAATTCTCCGAGGCACGTGAAGACCTGGCTGCCCTAGAGAAGGATTATGAAGAAGTGGAGCAAGGAGTCATCGACGACGATGAGGACGATGACTACTGAGCCGCCGGAAGAGAACCAGGGGTACTGTGGGAAGGGCACCGAGGAGCCTGCGACACGCACATAATTGTTGAAATATGTGTTGTTTGTCAGTAAGTAATCGTGCGACTCAGCACGTTGACTTTTCCACCCGTCTCAGCCGCACGCAGTCGAGGAAGACGCCGTCAGCAACTACGCTCAGTGCCGTCAACCACCGCCGGCAAAAAAGTCGAGAAAACATTTTTACTTCCAACAGCAGTAGCTGAAAATTCTCACTCATGTGGGCGTCAGATCCAGATGTTATATGCCAAAGTGTTTCTCTTCCCCTTCATATATTCACGTATATTTGTATAGCCAGCAACAATAAATGTTTATCCCTTACAAGCTGCAGTATTGTTGCAGGCTTTTAGCAGTGCAGTGCATGGAAATCGCAAGCGATTTGGTGGCAGCACCAGCTAAGACCCCGCTCCGATAGTTTAATCATGTGCAGTGCGTTCAGTGCGTTAAGTGCCTTGGAAAACTATGAGCAAGACACGCACAGGGTAAATTTTGTTATGCGACTTCACCCCACCGAACCAGTGCGATATCGTCAGCGCATTTTGCATTGTACTGCACGGCGACAGTTGTGTGCTGCAGGTGTGGATTTTGCCACATTTGTGTAGCGTTATCCAAACGAATATGATGCATTATCCCCAGATCCAGTCTCCAACCAGCATTTGTTGCCAGCTTCATTGGCTCGTGAACAGCGCAGTTTTTCCGTATCAGGCGCAGCGATAGGGGCATGCTAATTTTTAGTGCTTCATTAGTCAAAGATTGCGCACATATATCTAGGAAGCTTTGTTCACTGTTCATGGTGCATTTGACATGTCCTAATAGCTGGTTTTGCAAGCGCTCAGCAGTATCCATGTTTTAGCAACACATGTACGTGGCAGATGGAAATATATTTATGCGTTGAGCCAAGTGTGTTAATGCCATCGATTTCACCTCACTCTGCCAATGTAATGTCTGCTCTCATCCGACCTGTCAAAGCAAACAAGCGATATCATCCAACCACGTTTTATACGCGCAGTCTGAGAAATCAAAGCAATTGCCAATGGCGTTTTTTTGTGTAGTAGACCTGTTTATTTTACCCATATGGACCAAAAATAGTTACGTTTTTTATGGCAGTGGTTTACAGACGATTGCTAAGTCGTACTTGAAAACTCCTCAATATTTCTGACCAATGGGAGTGCTCCGCACTTGTATGAGGTTTTGAAATGAAGCAGCCATCCTGAAGATCATTCGACGCAGGTCAGCCCTACCTACACACGACTACACAGCCCTACCTTTCTTAAGACCCAAAGCACTCTGATTTTTAAGCTATACGACTGCGAAGATGCGCAGACTATTTCGTGCAGACTTTTCAAGGCCATTCAGGTATGCATAACGCCAAAGCAACGTTATTCAAATCCGGCCACCTCACAGGCCAGGCGGCGTTCGAAGTCCAGAAGATTATTTTCGTCCAGCATTTCAAATTTGGCGCCCGTGAGCACGATTTTCAACTAAAGTGGACGTCAATTAGCTCTCATACAATGTCGAGTAAGCTATGCAAGCCTCAGTCATAAGTCACGTTTGGTGTGCTGGTTTGGCTGTTTGGATTACAGCCCTTTCTACCAGAAATGATCATTTCAGTACTAGAAGATGAAGTTGAATGGATAACGGTGTGGCGGGTCTTCATGCGCTTGGGGGACCAAGCGCCGAGCCTTAGCCCGCGCAGGGACCCACAGGATTGTGCTCTGGGAGCCTGGTCAGGGTACTCCTCCAGAGAGCCCCTCGGCCCACTCGTGGATGACGCATACAGCCTACCCCGGACAAGCGGGGCGTCGCGAGGATTCAGGATAAAACAAGAATGAGGAGAACAGGGTCGGATGCGAGTCACGTTTTGTACTACATAATTAGATCAAGTCATAATAAAGTCGGACATGACTTCTTCGCTGGCCAGTTACGGTAGAAATAGGACTTGTTTTCCAATAACATAAGAATAATGTCATAACCATGAATGTAAATACAAGTAAGCATCTTAAACTCACAGATCTATACGCAAAACACCACGATAAATGGCCTAATCATGACCACATAGCGATATTTTGCTCAGAGAACACTTTCAGCACCACAGCTGCCAACCTTCGATGAGTCTGAAGCACTACAAGTTAGTCCTAGGGCGGTAATTTCCCACGGCTAGTTTGGCAGCACCTCAGCGTCTTACAAACGTTCCATGACGCAATAGAAAATGATCTATTGAGAGGGATATTTACTAAAAAGAGGAGTAGTGTTGTCTCGAGTAGTCTTTTCTACTTAAATGTATGCCAAGAGTTATAAGTGAGCTTAATTCATCATAGCTGGTGCTTGCTTCAATATCTTCAAACATGGAACCTTATCTCAAAGCCAATGTTCCGCATTTTTATGGACTTTTGAACTGAAACAGCCATCTTGAGAACCGTTTGATGCAGCTCACGGCCATGTCCTTTTAGGACCCAAAACGATCTGGTTCCCGAGTTACACGCCTGCGAAACTACAAGTGCGAAAAGGCTTATTGGGAGCCTATTTCAAAGCCGCCTTGGCATTAATGACGTCATAGAAATGTTATGCGATCGCGGTCATACTACGGGCTGTTTTCTGCTTATGGCCAAAACAGCATGGCCGCAGATACATTCGCAAAAACGATGATGCGGCACGTATGATGCAATGCGCGGAGGATGATTCGCTGTTAGCAAGATTTCGCTGCTGAATGCGTGTCACAAACGTAAGCGTGAGCGCTATCGGGTTGTGCGGCACTTGTGAACGGGGCATTTTCTCTCATTTCTAGGTTATGGGTCAATATTATAAAAAAAGAAAAACACGGTCCGTAAAAAAGTACGACATCCAAAAATGGACACTCTCAGGAAGGTTGTAAAAAAGAAGACGCGACGGCAAATCAGTCTTTTTCCCCTGCTGGCGTTTTTTTTTCCGCTGACGTATTTATTATAGACAGCTCGGTTGACGCCTTGTGTACCGGAGCACAGAACCTTGCACGGGTTTATGGGTTAGCAAGGCATTATCAAATCAGGAAAACGCTGCAGTAACTTAAGATATATATTTCACTCAATATTTCACACATACTATACGACAAATTTAAATCTTGAACAAAAAGTTGTGTTCTGCAGACACAACCTCTTAAGCCGCATTACCGTGAAACCCCGTTGGGACTTTGTTTTTAAGGGAGGTCGCGGTGAAACGCGAGTTTTAACCAAAAATCTGCGCGGAAATTGCGAGAAAACCTGCAATTTGATAGTCCCGCGAGCTGTGCAAATGTGAGATCACACTTAATTGACAAAAGAGTGTGAATCGGGGGCTTGAAATATGTGTGATCACTGGTGGTGTGTGCCAGTGGCTTGTATTGATCTTAATGTGATGGGGTGTTTGCGTGAGAGGTTTTTACTTCCGAGAGAGAACATCGTTTTGGTATTCTTTAAATCTACTGACTCCCAATAAAATGCGATATACTGATACTTGCCTCTGCCTTTACGTTTGTGTTTGAGCACGATAGAGGAGTGCCGGCAAACTAAGAGAAGCACTAGCACCTATGTTGCAGGGGTGTACAAAGGCAATTTAGTACTTCATTATGATCTTGCCAGCATTTTGAACCTATTGAGATATTACAGCATGTAATTAATCCATTGCATGCCATTATA